AGCTTGGTTTGAAAAACCCATGCGGCGGCGACTGCGATGACTGCTGGGCGCTGGCTGGCGCATCGCTGCGGCCGCATCAGCGCGCGCAGGCTCGAGCGCACAGCGGCCAACTAATCTGGCGCAACAGACGCGGCCGCGATTGCGCTGACCGCTGGGCATGTCCCAGCGCGCCTCGCTGGCCGCACTAACGCGCGGGCACTTCAGTGCGAGTCGGTGACGCTGGCGGGCGCGGTATCATGGCGACGTCGACAACGGCAGACACGATGATGACAATAGCCATACTGGTGACGATGATGACAATGACAATGGCAGCTTCAATAACGGCGCTGATGCTGATCACGCCGATGACGGTAATGGCGTCCACGCGTCGGTGATCCGGCTGGGCTGGGATAGAATGGTTCGTATTGAAAACGAACGATGGGACAGAACCGTGTGTAAATCCTACGACGCAAGGGGGACCGATGATAAACCGCGGCATCCCAATTTCTTTCTAGAGGGAGAAACTACGACGGGCGGCGACGAGGCGGCGACGGGGCGGCGACGGCGACATAGCCGCCAGACAGTCACCCAGGCCCAGACGACGGGCGGCGACGAGGCGACGAAGGGGCGGCGACGGCGACAACATAGCTGCCAGACCGCCACCCGGGCCCAGACGACGGACGGCGACGAGGGGAGGACGACGGCGACAACATAGCGGCCAGACCGCCACCCGGGGTCCAGTTCCCCAGACGAGAGGCAAGACACCAAGAGTACAAGGACCGTTCAGGGAAGATGCTGACACTACTGCTCCCCGAGCCCCCTTCGCGAGGCGCACGTCCGACCGGAGCGCATGCCACAAGCATGGCGCAGCACGCTGCTGCCCGGGCGGCAGGGCCAGACCGCGCTCGCCGCCGCGCTCATGCTGCAAGCCTGCTCGGTGTGCGCGCGTCGCTCCCCGCGGAAGCGACGCACAGGGCACAAGCACGTCTGAGCTCGACCGAGCGCAGTCGGACAGTCATCACCACCCGCCGTGCGTCGGAGGGCCTCCCAAGAGGGTTCCGTAAAACAGGGCTAGGATCGGGATAAATCGCTCCAGAGCGTTCCAGAGCGCTCTCAGAGCGTTCCGGAACGCTCTGGAGCGGCCGCGGCGCCCAATACATCCTCCAAACCCGCCGATTCTCAGAGATTTCGAGTTATCCCGATCCGATTTTGTCCCGATCTTCGCGTCGTTTGATTCCGAGTAGATGGGGTCTGAGGGTCGCGCCGCATCGCCGATGCATCGCCGTTGCGTCGCCGTTGCATCGGCGCCGTCGGTGTGGATAAAATGGGATACACACCGAGCCGGCATCGCCAATGCATCGGCGACACGGCGCGATCCTCCGACCCCAGCTGCTCCGGCCCCTTGTGGGAAGCCTGGGCAGCCACCACCACCCACAGGGCGACGGGCGTCAGGACTATGTTTCCCTCTGGACCCGTTCCTTCGGGGGCCCAAAACCGTGTGGTGACGGACCGCGTGGTGACCTCAGCATACCCAGCGACCTCACCGCGCGCGGTCCGTCACCACACGGTTGGGGGACCCTGGAGGCCCCAAACGCCCGAGACGTTCTCGGAGAACGAACCGAGTCCCAAAACAGCGCGGTGACCCCGAATCCCCACCGACCCACCACACGGTGTGGTCACCACATCGCTTGGGGGCCCCCGAGTTTCCCTCCGCACCCACCTTGCCATCACTCGGACGTCCAATCCGCGTGCATGTTTCGGTGTCATACGCTTTTGCTTCGCAAGATGATCCAAGATGCTCATCGATGGCCCTCGCCAAGAAAAGCCACACATGCCCGAGCGATGCCAGGCCGCTTGCCTCATGTCGGCGGCGAGCGAGGGAAGGAAGTGAGAAGGAGAAGGCCTTCTCAGAAGGCGACGGGACTTCTCGGAAGACCTCGCGCCTTCTGAGAAGCTGTCTGCGTCTTCGGGGAAAAGCTCAGCACGCTCCTCAGGAGGCCCAGGAACCTCCGGGCCTCCTGAGAAGGCCCGCCCCTTCTCGGACGCGTGGTGCTCTTTCGGTCATAACTCGGCTCTCCGTAGCCGTTCGGCACGATCCAGGCACCCCTGGCACGCCCTC